TATTATTAAAGTAAAGAAAAATTTATAATAATTACCTTATTATATACTATTAAAAACCTTATATATTATAATACCTTTAATTAAATTATAACTTAACGTAAAAAAAACGTGAAAATATTAAAAGATTATAATTTACATTTAATTACACGTAAATTACGTACGAGGGTATAGTAGCCTAAATATATGTGTATTATTTACGAGGTAATATAGGTTATAGGCTTATAGCTAGAGCTATAGAAGTAGTATAGTTTTATAGTTTTATAGTTTTTATAGTTTTTAATATAATAAATAATATTAAATCTAATAAAATACTTATAGACACTGCCATCCTTTTTTATTCATTGCTAGGCTCGCTTTGGTGGTCGACACCCTCTTTGAGGGTGCAAGCGAAGATGGAACCTAAAATGTCAATGGGGGCGTGGCACGAGTAGGCAGCCACGGGGCCCGTACGAGCATAATTTAAACCAAGGTCTGGTAGGTGTGCTCAGAAGTCGGAACGGGCCCTGTTACGGCAGACACTAATTGAGTAGTAAGGACAGTACAGTTCGTCGGCGTATCAGTGTCAAGTGTTGGCTTGGATAAAACGAGCGGCTGGAATTACATTTAAAAGAGCGAAATAATATAAAGCTAACCACCTATTGTAATACTACTACCTGGCAGGCAGCGGTATAATAATGACTGTTGGCCTGAACAAGGGACTTAATCTTGACATAGCAAGTCCCGTAACGTGATAGTCACAACCTGAAAAGAATGTGCTTGAGCTGTTGCTAGCTAAAAAGCCCAAAGGGGACAAATCCGGCCTGCTAGCTACCTCGGCTAGGCAGCTTTAACATATAGCCCAAATACCCAATCTAGGAGATAATAATGCCCTCACGCCCGCACGCACTTATAGCCCTTTACACGAACCGTAGGCCCCAATACTTCATCATAGCCTGTGTAAGAGATCACTTTCCCGCCAACTCTGTTACACTCCCGTGCGTTGTCATCGTAGTTGTAACCCCAGGTATGTCCGATAATGGGTTCAGCGAGAGGGGTGTCCGGCTTGGGCTTGCACCATAGCGTCTTGTGTCCAATCCAGCATCCGGCGCCATAATTTTCGCAGCAGTTCCAGCCAGGGAATGTGGGATCTTCGCGATCTTCGGGGTTGCAAAGTTGAGACTTGGACTTGGACTCTGTTGTCGCGTCTGTAATGCTAAAATCATTTGAAGAAGGAGATTTTGCCAAGCAATCAGTCCATTCGCACTCCGATCCTTGACGTATGCATTTGCCGCCACTAAGAACAGCCGGCACGAAGGTAATAGCAATCGTAATAATGGTAGGCCGCATTGTAGTGGTTGATGAGAGATGATAGATATAAGAGAATAGCTGTCTAATCGTAGCAGCAGAAAGTTGAAGAAAAGAGTAGATTTCTTTCTGAATGAAAACTTCTCTATTTATCTATAAAAGAAAAACTACTCTTAGCAATTTATCCATTATTTACACGGTATTAATAAGACAAGCCTTCTTATCTTGGACCTGTGTAAAACATCTACTGGTACCACGCCCCACTTTCTTCGTACTCGTATAGTTCATAAGTAAGAGAGCTAGCTATACGAAGGCTAATAAGCTGATTCCGGAGTCTTAATTTGAATACTTGGGCTAGGTAGCGTTAAGGGCGGTGTCAGTCATAGGTTACAAGCCCGCCTCCTAGTAGCATATCTCAATATGGCCTGATGCGCATAAATAACATCTTATAAGGTGTGTGGAAGCTACTAGGGCATCCCTTCAAATGCATATCTCTTAATTGACCTTTATACTTGACTTTATTAACCTTAACTATTCATTTCTACGGGGTGTCTATTATACCTGGTAGTAATCAAGCAGAGACTCTGGTGGAACGCCAACTACTACGGTGGTCCTTGATCACCCATCATCTTGGAAGCTCCCAGTGATGCCGCTATCAAGGATGATGAAGTCAACCATTCCAACTCGACCTTGACTGGTCTTTTTGCCCAGATCAACAAGGCCGGTGTTATGACTCTTGAGCATCGCTACTGGGTTGGCAATTCTCCTGTTGGAAAGAACTTTACAGCGAGACTCTGCAGCGTCTTACCCTCGACAACGCTATCCAAGATCTCATCTATTTCGCCAACAATGTTCATCTTCCACTTGATTCCCGTGGCAAATCAAGGCCTGAGAAGGCTCCTTGGGTCCTGACTGCCTGCTCATACGCCAGCGCTCTGACGGCCTGGAATGTCCTAGAACCCGGTATCTTTTAGGCATACCATGCAATGAGCGAGGTTTCTTCATTGCTGACGGGTCCGCTGGGAGACTTTCAAGGCACCCAGCTCACCAGTTATACTAATTCTACCCGGATGTGTGATTACGTCGAGGTTAGTATATAGCCGAACCACCTCCTTGCATCTAGCATAGCATTACAATGCCAAATAGTACAGACAAGCTGACCTAAAACCTCTCCCCGGGACCAATGGACTGGGAGCAATGTTACACTCCCTGGACCAGAGGGTGTTGTTGTGCAGCTTGCGCTCGAGGGTTTTGCCAAGTTGACGAGGGAACGTGCGGCTCGTCGGAGAGTGAAACAGACCCCGATGAGCCTCTCTGGTCGTAGTCCCATCGCAATGAGCCACAGGTCTGCCGTTCACTTTACAAATTTAAGGCCTAGTATCATCTGACATCAGAATCAAAAGGTTTGAGTAGTGGCCAGGCTGGGGGCCTGGTGCAGACAACGTCCTCGTTTCCAGGGCTTGCACCCGCAACAGTACCCTGGCTCGGTGCAGAGAAAAGTTCCCTACCATCGGTAATTTCACATAGGGCCTTGAAAAGGGCCTCGCAGTCGATCAGGTGAATTTAAAGACGGGCGGCTGGAATTACGTCAACACGACACGCCTCATGTGGGTGAATGGCGAGTATGACCCCTGGACCCCGGCTACCGTCTCGTCCAAGTCGCGACCTGGAGGCCCTTTGAAGTCCTCCAAGCAGGCTCCTGTATGGATCGTTTCCAATACCAATTATGATGGCATATTTACCAGTTATAATGGTATATTTACCAATTATGATGGCATATTTACCAATTATGATGGCATATTTACCAATTATGATGGCATATTTACCAATTATGATGGCATATTTACCAGTTATAATGGTATATTCACCAATGAAGATGGTATATTCACCCGCCAGGATGGTATATCTATCCATTATGAGGGTGTATCCATCCGTCATATTCTTTATCCAATTACTTACAACGTCGTGCACACACGCTACCCTTTGTGAATTTGGGTGGGGGGGGGGGGGGGGGGGAGTAGTGTTTCCAGCCCTTGGACATACTCAAGTCTTGTTTTCGCCAATGAGGCTCATGAACCCGTTATGCGTCTTATATCCCTCCTCAAAACAGTCAAGGACGCGCCCTGAGGATTGAGAATGTCCATGATGGCGTGAGAGACCTGTTTAGTGAGGCAGACTGGGATTTTGCTTGCTGTCTGGTCCCGCGACCAAGATGGAACCGAAGCTGCTCGAGCTTCCGTACAATGGGTATACAACGTGATTGGAGAGTTGTTGCCCTTGAGCAGCGGAGTCTACGGCGCCGACCTGGGGCCGGATCCCAGAGACACCGCTTTGGCAGCCAAAGCTTTCGGACCGAACCGGCCGCGCTTGATCCGTCTCAAGCAGATCTCGGATCCGCGAAACGTCCTGGCTTATGCTTGTCCACTGGCCAAAGCACCGATGGCGCCGACGCTCATCATTCTCGTTACAGGCAAAAGCTGCGCAGGCAAGGATTATTGCGCCGACACCTAGGTCTCCATCGTCACCAAATGTGCCCTCCAAAGCTCACAGCACGCGCAATCAGCATTGGCGACACGACCAAGCGAGAATATGCAGAGGCTGCTTGGGCCGATCTCCAACGCCTGCTTCGGGACCGACGCTACAAAGAGCAACATCGGGCTGCGTTAACGGCATTCTTCCAGGAACAGCTGCACCATCGATCTCGGCTGCGGGAAGAGCATTTTCTGGATGCGGTGAAAGACGCTATGGATGTGGACATGCTGCTTATCACAGGAATGAGGGATAAAGCACCCGTCGTAGCCTTTCGCACTTGGCCCCAAGCAGCAGACTGCTCGAGGTTAGAATTCAAGCTAGCAGTGAAACGCAACGGGCTCGTGGGGGTTGCCAAATCAGCGGCGATAACGACGACGGCATGGAGCTCTACCCGCCCAGTTTGCTCTTCAATAATGACTCTAGTCACTCGACCGGCAATGAGGCGGCAAAGAAGTTTGCCTAAACCCATCTGCTTGCTTTCTTCCACGAGAACCTGCAGCGACTGGCTAGTATGGTACGCCTAGTGCCCGGCTTCCCACGCCCTGGTCTCGATTTTCGCCACGGGCTTGACATCTCCCAGCAGCCGGGCGGGCTGGACTTGTGCACGTCCCTGCTGCAAGCTCACTTCACCGGTGACTAGGCCAAAGCTGATTTGGTGGCGTGTTGCGAGGTTGGCGGCTTTGTCTATGCGTTGGCCTTGGCCTTGCGTGTCGGCGCGTCTCTGGCATTGATTCGCGAAGCCGGTAAGCTTCCTCCGCCCACGATTTCCGTCATCAAATCCCCGTCACACATCTCGTCTTGCGCCTCCCACGGTACGGTGGAGAAGGGAATTGAGATGGGCCTGAATATAGTCCCAAGGGGCGCGTCTGTCGTGGTGGTGGATGATGTGCTTGCCACTGGGAAGACGCTTTGTGCGGTACTGCAGCTCCTAGGACCTAGATGAAGCCGGAGTCAGTGCTGACAAGGTCAATGTCATGCTTGTAGCAGAGTTCCCTATTCACCGAGGCCGGGAACTTTTGCGTCGGCGTGGCTATATGGTTTAACGGCAGAATTGGTGACATGACTTAGTCAGCACCCGTCAATGGCGTTTCTCAAACGGGCACGAGTGTTAGGGTTAGGGTCAGCTTCACAGTGGATACTACATTGAATAGAAATAGAGTAACCTTTTGACTTCCATAGTTTATTTGGACACTAAAAAAACTTTAGATAATTTGATTCCGAAGAACACGATAACTCTCTCCCTTAAAGGCCAAATACCCCATCCTTTTTATGAAGAGCTCCACTACTAATAGGCCGTAGATATCGCGTTCTTCTTGCACAGCGTGTTTTCTGCATACTGCTATTATCTTCAAAAAAGTTAACAAGGTGGTCGGTTGGAGCCGACAAGTCCCAGCCATCAAGATGTCCCGAGAGTAAACAGGGATCAAGTTCCCCGTTCTAACCCTTGTGTATGACGTAGTGACAAGCACTCACAATGCAGCCACGGCCGACTTTGCATGGCTGATTGCCATGAGAAGAAGTCCACAGATCCATTCTAGTCAAGGTAGTTTTACGCACCACATGTAGATTCCTGGTCTCTAAGGTAGCGTAGGAGACCAGGGCCCCATGTGTTCTGTTCCTATCGTTGAGCCATCTCTTTGAGATTGACCGGTCGGCGGAGGAAGAACCGCCGGATAAGAACAAAAGGGGGACGGATAATGAGACAATTGATGCGAAAGGATTCTCCACATTCTGTTTCCCCGCATAGGCAAGCGAAGTCTCCCCAAGGTGAACTTGACTCATGGCTGCAGATCTGGAATTGGGTGTGCTCGAGGCCGGGTCTGCGCAGGACTCGATAAATCTCTGACAAGGCATTCCATCAAAAACCAGCCACATCCTTTCCATTCACCGCAAGTTAGCTCAATTATTGATGTGATTTGTCTGTGTTACTGAAAAAGGGGGGTGCCAAGGTCACGCGGATCATCTAGAGGGTGAGACATGCTGCCACCGCGGTACCATCGCCGTATGAACTATATTGATCCGATGAAAGAAATACAGAGTTAAAAAGCCCCCAGAAGCTAAACTGGCGCGTCAAGTCGGTTATGATAGTTGCGGTGGTGAGAAGTTCAGCAAGTCGTAGACATAGAGAAGGGATGAGGCCATCGTATCCAACCTCGGAGTACAAGAACTTACAATGCGTCGCGGTATGGATGACCAGTAGTAGTAAAGTTGTACAACTCTTGGCAATAATCTCGAAACGTTTCGGTGCAGCTATTGCAATGGGACATGGTAACGATGGCCCACGCCAAGATTTGGCGGGTTGGGCGGGAGACTGTCGATTCCCAACAGTCTGCAGTCGGTGCAAAGAATTCGGAGAAGGGTACTGGTTCGGCCCGTATGGTTTGGTGACTTGGCGAAATAAATAATAGTTTTAGTGTGCGCGAGAATAGCCTCGTGGTTCTCTCATTCCTAAGGCTTTTGCTATAGCATCAAAGCAGAGGCCAGCAGCAGGTTCCAGGACTATGGATAACCTCAACTCAAAGAACTGGCTTGTAACAATGTCTCCTCTGCCCTCTCGTGTCCTGGTTGGATGGAATACGTACGCATCATGATGCTTTTGGAGGGACTTGGGCATCACTAACAGCTGCTGTACATACGCAGATGGTAACGGCCCTTGCTCGCGGCATCTCCACGCAACATCCGTAAACATATGCCAGTCCAACCAGAATACAGACTATGTAGCTGTCATGCCGGCAGATATGTTGTGACTGCTGACGAGTCAACAAGCCAACACTGACCGAAAGGCAAGAGGGGATATTATTGTCACACAGCAGGCCGGGTAAACATGGCCCTCTAGCTGCAGCTCGTTCCCATGAGCTGCCCGACTTCCGACTTCCGACATTCTTCATCCATTCATTTCAGAAGATGCGGCGCCATTGAAGATATAAAGGAGGTCTCACGCCGTCTTCAAGGACCAGACAACTGAAACTCCACCGCCCAGCCATACACTTGATATTCAATCACTCCCAACAAGCATTATTTCATCTGAAACAAAGTCAAAGCCTTATCAAGATAGCCTTCCAAAATGCACTTTAATTCATTCACCCTTCTCTGCATGGCTACTGCTATCGCAGCTTCTGGCTCAGCTATGGCTATTCAAGGTTGTGAGCGAAGTTACAGCTATTGCGGCTGGGTGCTCCGTAATGATTTCGGTAGGATCAGCCAAGCGAATAATGCCATAGAGACAGTTGTCAAGTTTTGGATATTTCATGCTAACGTTAATTGACAGGTTGGGACGCAAGAGCAGTCCCCGACCTAAACGGGATTTACTACTGCGATTCCACCTACAACGCCATTTATATTGATCATTGTGGTGGAGGCTGTGCGGGACCAGTTGCTCATTGTGCGTAGAACATGCTACACGTCTGAGCTCCGGTTGCATCGACTGGTCATATATCCCGGGAAATGACTGTCAGCCATCACCAAAGTCGGCCAACTCTTTCCTAAATCTCGGGCAAGCCTACACTTGACCTGGCCTATTTTTCCTTCTTCCAGTCTTATTTTTACTACTGGCCCGCTTTAACCTTCTTTGACTACTGCTGTGGAATGCTCCTTAGATGATTGGAATTCTGGTTCTCGAGCTAAGAATGACAATTAGTGTTGGCAGTTTTTGGTTTGGAGACTGCCGTCTGCCTTGGCGTTGGTTCTGACCTTCTTTTAGGTATCCCTATGTCATAGTGCAAATGCAAAGGAAGTTCTTAGCAGCATTGATAATAATATAAAACGACATATGTTGCGGTCTGAAACCCCTCGCAATCATATCGTGATGTCAACTACTGTGTATGGTACATCATAAGCCATTACGGTATATCATATCGAATCGTCATGAAGTCGAAAATAATCACCGGGCCTCCAACATCCCCAACATCAAATCATGCAAATACAGGCACCCTACGCATCGGCTTCGGCGTTACAATGTCCAACCAAGTGACAACTAATCCAACAAAACTCATTACTCAGGTCTCGAGAAAACTTCGTGCGAGTCCACTGCAATGCATACTCGGAGTTTTCTAGGATGGGCTTGTTGACAAGATCATGAGCCACGGGGCTCGACTGGGGGTCCGCATGGAAGCACCCGATACCCGACAATTGTTACCACAAGATCTAGACAGAGGTCCCTATGAGCATTATAAATAAGGTGAGCGCAAGAATTGGAAGTTGGATGGGGTGACAGTGAGGAGCAGTGGAAAGGAGGCATCAAAGAAAACACATTGAGTACAGGTGGTACGGAATTTATACACTCTAGTCATTGATAGAGAAATAATTTACACTTGGTAGTACTTCGCCTATCACGTTAACAGCTATGGAAGCAGATTGAATAGTGGAATTATCCTTGATTAAAGCTATCTGGGTACGAATAACAGGCCCTTATTTATAGATATAAAGGTCGACTAACAGGTTACCTAGAAAGTAATTAATCTAAGGGGTTCTACGATATCTAGCTATTAAAGGTTTAGCTTTAATATAGTGGTAGTGTAAGCCTTCTTTTAAGGCTTTTCGTATAATTAAAAAGCAATTATTTAAAGCGTTTTAGGGCTTATTAGGGTCCCTAATAAATAATAGCTATTTTCTATTAAAAGAGGCCTTTAACGTTAATATACCCCTATAAATTAAATTAATAGCTAGCTATTAAAGCTATTAATAGCTATTAGGGTAAGCTAGATTAGTTAATTTAAGCTCTTTTAATAATACTAAAAATAAAAGCTTAGATATTATAATAGTCTCTTTAATTATATGTGTAAAAGCTAATAATTTAGCTTTAGTAGACGATATTATAACTGTATTTTACTTGCTAGCTATTTAATTAATAGGTCTATTAAATAATCGAATTATTAAGCCTTATAATAACTTTTAAGTTTATTAGTCGTCTATAAATACGGTATTAAAAGCTATTTAAAGCTCTAGGTTATTGGGATTTTTATTGAATTTAATCGCTAGGTATTACGTTAAATACAGGTACTTAATAACTTAATTAGCGACTTATTAGTGGATTTCTAACGAATTAAAGAGAAATTTCGCTAGCTTAACTACTAGTTAAGCTATATTAGGTCTTTTAATAACTATAATATAATTAATAGAACCGATTATCTACTAATATTAATGAATTTAATTAGTAGTTATAATACCTAGATTAGATTTTAATTAATTTCTAGGTATTAAACTTTCTTTAAAGCTATCTCTCTTAAGAATATTAAATTTTATAACTAATTTTTTAATATAAAAATCCTAATATAATTAAAGCTTATAAGTAGCCTTATCCTAAAGGACTTAAATACCTAAAAACTATTATAGCTTACTAAGATTCTTTATATTATAGGTTAATTTAAGCTTTTAAATCATCTAATTAGTAGCTTTAAAAGCTACCTAATAATATAAAAAAACGATATTATTAACGTAAAAAAAGACTATTAATATTAGGCTATTAAAGATATAAGAAAGATATAAGGGTCTTTTAGGTAAGGTATTAAACCTAATAGCTTAAAGGTCTTACTAAGGGACTATTACTATAATAAGGCTAACCTTTATAGCTCGTATAGGGCTTATAGTAGCCTTATTATTTACCCGGGCCTTTTAAAGCCTTTAAGAAGTTTACGTTAAATTTCTTAAAGGCTTTAAAAGGCCCGGTTAAATAATAAGGCTACTATAAGCCCTATACGAGCTATAAAGGTTAGCCTTATTATAGTAATAGTCCCTTAGTAAGACCTTTAAGCTATTAGATTTAACACCTTATTTAAAAGACTCTTATATCTTTAATAGCCTAATATTAACGGTCTTTTTTTACGTTAATAATATCGTTTTTTTATATTATTAGGTAGCTTTTAAAGGTAC